AGATTTGTTTCTAACAGGTAAAGGGTCTTACTATCAGCTAGGACAAATATGCCAGGAAAGTTACTGTCAGTGAGTGACTACATAAAGGGACTAGTTAGTCTGCCTATCCTGTGAACTTGTTACATACAAATATAGTTTTCCTAGCCAAATACACCACTTGTTTTATCAGGTGGGCATGTTCCTGACACCAGATTTTATGTATTTATCTTCACAACATATTTGGCACTAGGAAATCAGCAAATTGCTTCTTCTTTTTGCCTACTGGCAAGACCAGAGAGGGTTGATTTAATTTCCAAAAGACAAATACATGGCATTCTGCAGGTTCACGTGTTATTGGAACAGTTTGTGGGACATGGGCTCATACAAACTAAGGTGAGCATGTAGTACGGTGAGAAGCAGATAGACATGGCTCACTCTGGATGGAGGATTTTCAAGTATCCAATTCATTAAGAACATGTAAGCTTTTCTTCTGTGAGACACCTCTGGAAAACTTTCCATATGTGAGAACCAGTGGTCACCACCAAGCACCACAGCAGCTCAAAACCATTTGGTGAAATAGCTAACAGACCTAGTCTATCCATTTCCATAGTGGATTTTGTTGCTGAGTACAAAAGGAGCAAGGTCATACGCAAGAAATAAAAAAATGCTTCACAAGATCTAAGCCCATTTCTGTGAGCTAGGTCTGTTTGCTCTGAATTCCTCTCCTTCCCCCCAGACTCAACATTCTTTCAGCTGAGGATGACACGAAGGGATTATTCCAGAGCCCATTAAATGCTGCTCCAAGGTTGGCCCAAGGCATTGCTGCTGAAGAACATGACACCTGTGGGGGTGATGAAGCTGCCTTTTCAGTTTGGGGCAAAAGATAGAATCTAGGATTTTGGCATTGGGCTGCAGAATACTGCATCCAAGTTTTATTGTTGCTCTCTATGTTTGAAGTTGCTCCAGTGTCTTTGAGATTAATCCATCCAGTTTCTCTATCTAACAGTATTTCCTGATATTTGCCCTTGAATTTGTTACTTCTCAATTCTAGTCTACAATTCTAGCCCTAACTATTCCTTCATCTCCCTTGGTTCCTTCAACTACTTTTGTGTTCCTAAGTAGGAGAAAAAGAGAAGAATCAATTTCTTACTTAAAGTATCATGCATACCTAGTTAATTATTTAACAGCCGGCATGAAAGCACCTCACAGGAAAAGCAGCAACATGTTGTTCTCCAAATGCCAAAGTTAGCAGGTGCTGTCAGGGAAAAACTTAAATTGAACATCACACAATGCATCCTCTCAGTGTTACAGATGGGATGTAATAAGGTTTTAAAAAAATAGTTCTAATCGTCATTCAATTTCTCTCCATTAAAGGAGAAAAATGTAGCATTTACTTCCTGGTGTAATATTTCTGTCCAAGATCCTCTGCAAATATGTGCAAAGAAAGCATAACTTTGAAGTACTGATAATACTGACTACCAAAGCATGACACTAGTGTAATAGTGCAGGTACAACTCAAACATAAGGACAGTTTCTTTACTCCCTGCAATAAGCTGTCCTGAAACAGTGGATTCATTATCCAGTGGTGACCTTCATTCCTTACCTCAGTGGAAAGCACTGCTCAAGTGGGGCATCCTGACAAAATGCCAGCTCTGGGGTGTTACGACCAATAGTGTCCCCTAGCCCAGACAAACTGGATGGGATAAGCCATATGTCCTGCTCAGGCAGGTGGTAAAGCATTCCTGTAAGTGAGGATCACTTCACTGTAAACACAACTACACTGGAGTTTCAGCTCCATAGTATCATTTTATAAAGTGAATATGAGTTGGAGGATTATAACAGCCAATTACTCAGCATACTTCAGTAAAAAAAAAAAAAAATCTTTCTGCATTACCACAACACTAAAGCTTCAAGACTTTAGGAGGCTTCACCACAGCTCAGAAGCTTTCATACAGAGATGTTATATGATGTGCTTTGGTAGGAGACATGAAACTTGGAGATACATCTTTTCTTTTCACACTGAGCAACTCCAAGAAAACACTCAAAGTCTTGCTTCCAGTGTAAGGCTGATTAAATTGTGGTATCCCACTTTCCTGATCCTTTACAAGGATGGCATTTCCACTGGTCAACTTTTTCTCATGTACATGACAGGTACCTATATTCTACAGTCCCCTCTGGTGAAAATCATCATGTACTCACAAACAGAATTTTATGCTACTTCAGAGGCATGCCAGACACAACACACCTGCTGCCATTTCCCCCTCGCCATCTCCTTACTTTGGTATCTCCTTAATGCAGTACTCAGGTACCTTTTTCCTCCCACCCTGTCTGAAGGCAATGTTGTTTCTGACTGCATCCACATTCAAAGAATCCTCATGTTTCAGGGCTTGGAGCACTGCACAAGGATTCACTGGTTGTAGTGAACCCTGTGTGTATTCATTTGGTTCTCATTTAGTAACACTGAAAATAGTCTGAATTAAATGAAGAAAGACTCACAATTAAGAGTGTAGACTTCTGTGTTAAGCTATAATTCTTACTGTGAACATGGACTTTTTTACTATAGTGTGCAGGCTAGTGTCATTCTCCATAAAATATATTTTCCTTGGGACAAAAATAGGGAGGATAAAGGATAATATGAAAGAACTTATTTACTTCACATTTGCTTCATAAAACACTGAGTGAATTTTGTCTAGTTACAATATTAACTTTCATACAAAACCAGTTTAGTAGGGCTTGATTACCCAGAATGTGGAATAGAAAGAAATCACTGAATTTGACAACAGTAAGTATTTGTTCTGATGACTTTTACCAAAACCTGTACTCTTTTGAAAATAGTTAAAAGTTGTCAGGCCTGTAGGGTTCAAATATTTCAGTGTCTGTAAAGACAACAGAAGCATCTATGGGGGGGCATTAAATATATTTGAAATAAATTCTCAACTCTGATCTTAACTATGCAACTTGAAGTTGTAGTAATTTCTTTCTATAACACAACCTCACTTTGCTTGTTTCTTATTGCAATAAAAAGCCTGAAATATTAAACATACAGAAGAATTAAATTAGACTTTGTAAACCAGCAATAATATTATTCTGCTTTCAATGTTCTAAATCCTTAATACTCAGCCTAAATAAACGTCATGTACCAGTTCCTTAAACAGTGTTAGCAATGTAAACAGCATTTAAAAATGCACGAAGTTCAACTTTATAAAAATTACATCTGTAGGCTGTTAAAGGGGAACCTGTAAGAAACGTCAAACAATACTGTTCCTTGTGTATTCCACTGAAATAACAAGAAAATTGCATCTGGAAACAGTTACTGGCACAGGACTTCAATAAAGTATTGTGTTACCTTTAATGAACGAAATATTGTTAATCAAGAGCCAGATATAACAGTGTGCCACCCAGCTGGCTTATAATTCAATTAATTTACCTTCTTGGGAGATGACAATGGACTTCGATGATTTGATGGGTTTGCTGTCTAGAGTCCAGGTGACAGCTGCAGGGGGATCAGAGGAAATCCGACACTGTAAGACCAATTTTTCCCCATCTACTACTTGAGCATCCTGAAGCTTCTCTGTAAAGGAGGGTGCTGTGCCTTTGCTTGCTGGGGGTTTGCTTGCTGGTGCTTTGTGCTCAGCTTTTTTCCCAATTACTCCGCCATCCACCACTGCACACCCATGTTCACAGTTTCTATCATTCTTCTCTTCTTTTTTCACTGCTGGTTTGGCAACTGGGGCTTGAGAATTTGGGGTTGCATTCTGGGCTTCAGAATTGGTGCGGGCATTTGGTGCTGGGGTGGTGGCATTGCCATTCTCTGCAGGTGGCTTTTTCTTCGAGCCCAGCACAGATCTGAAATCTGTAATGGCTGGTTTAGGAGGTGGCACCTTCTCTGGCAATGGGGTTTTTGGGGTGCCTTTCTTGGCCAGCACAGAGCGGAAGTCCACCTGCTGAGGAGCATGAACTTTCCTTTCCTCCTCTGACAAGGTCTTGGGTTTGACCTGCCGCTGCAGGTTTGCTCGGAAGTCCATTTGCTCGGCTGGGATTTCTTTCAGATCCTCCTCAGAAAAACTTTTGGTGCTGACTTTTTTGCCTAAAATGTCACGGAAATCAAGTTGCTCAGCTTCCTGCTGCCTCAGGCTCTCCTCTGTGTGCTCCCGAGTTTCCACTCGCCTCTTCAGCACACCTCGGATGTCTTCCTGCTCTTCCTCAGCTGCTCTGGTTTCACTGCTGGTCTTTTTGAAGCCACTTGTTCTACCAAATGTTAGTTTACCATGATCTCCACCATCTCTTCGCTCTCCAGAGCTGGCTGATTCCCTCCCACTATGATCCGAAAAAGAAAAGAAAGAGAGAGGCAGGAAAGGGGCTGGTTTAAAAATGTCAGGGAACAATCTCAGAGCAGGAACAAAATGTGTTTATAGAAGGGGAGGTTGATTAGAGGAGCACACTCCATTAGTTTATTGCATCAATGATGACTTCAGGAGCCATATAAGGGCACAAACAAAAAAAGATCTTCTCTACTCTGGCTTGGTACAATGTGCTTAGTCTGTATGATGAAAACAATTTGTTGGGTCACATTTGAGGATTAGGTTGAACAGCAGCCAGCCTGGGTCTGTAAGGGCAGAGAATTAACAGAGCAAAAAATAGAACCCACCCAAGCAAGTCCCTGGGAAAAATACTCACTCTCTGAGCATTTCTGCTCTGGAAGCTGAGCTCTCCTGCAGCATTAGAGACACCTGGCAGCTGCATTCTCCAACTTGGTTCCTGAAACATTTAAGCGAAATCAGAACACCAGAGGTTTCTCCCTCCAAAACTGTAACTTGCCTGAGCTGAGTGATTGTGTGTGGCATGTGGCACTAAAGCAGCTCAAACCTAGTGTGGCATTCTCCCTTTCCTATGTCCAGCATTATGGTGGTTAAATGAGAGGATTTGGTCCCCTTATACTTGGAGCCAAGCGATCTCAAATAGCTTTTACTGATCTGTTCCTGTCTGCACTGGCAACAACATACTCCCTGAACAAAATCAAAGCAATTTACAGAATGAAACAGATGCAAACAAACAAGCTAAAGGAAAACAAATACAAAAGCTGGAAAAATCAAGGCAAAGGAAGGGGCTATTTTATAAAGATGAAAATCTTTCCAACTCTTCCTACTGTTTATTTATTCAAACCTAAGCTCCTAAGTTTTCCAGTGTTAAGATATTAAAAGCAGGGTCTCATTTCCTTCCCTCCCCCCCTGGCCCAACCAATCAGCAAAACTCATCTACATGGATCGCTCCAGCCTGTACATGTTTGTATTAAAAAACATAAAAGTGTCACCATATATGGTACTGAGTACTTATTCTTCCTTTTGCAGCGGAATACCACGAATGCCTTTCTGGAAAGGGCTCCCATTAAAGAATTCATTTAAAGTGCTCCCCCGACTCCCGCTGCTCCCTCCCTCCTGCAGATATATATCATTCTTCTAGCCCCAAACGCCTCTTCTCCATTTAGCATAGGAGATGCCAAAAGCAAAATTTAACTCCCTCAAGGCAGCAGTTGGGTAACTGTTGCCACCACTCCCCTGAGCTGCTATTAAAAAAGACAGATTTGAATTAAGGACCAGAGATATCTTTTATTAGTGAAAACACTTTAGTCCTTCCCAGTTTAAGCTTGTAAATGGACTACAAACTCCTGGCTTATTTTTCTTTTTCAAACAAAAATAATTTTTGCTACCGAAAACATTTCCTGGACATGAACAAAACACATGTGCCTTGGGGAGAGGAAGGAAAGAGAGGCGGGTTTCCCAGCTGTGTTCTTGTTGCAGAAGACTTGCTAGATAAGAGCACCAGGTCCATTTTGTCCTGAAGTTTAAAGCCCAGACTCAGGAGTGCCTTCCTGAGTTTGCCATAAGCATGGTGTCTGCCTTGTTTTTTAAAAAGTGCATGGAAATACCTTCCTAGATATGTCTCTGTTTGGGTGAATTAACTGTAATTCCACCCATTTGCAACTTGTAAAGAGGTCATACAGTAAGCAAGATCAGGAGCAGAGATGCAGCAGTAAGTTATGTCCTTAGAACAGAAATCAGTGCCAACACCTCTTCAGATAGATTTCCTTTGTTTTCTGTGGTTTTAGCAAATGAAAAAGTGCATCAGCCTAATATGAAAATCAAGGCTTTAACACCAAGAAGTTGGTGGGATGAGCTGAAGTAACTGGATTGCAAAGTAAAGGCCCTGCTGGTAAGGAATCTTATTTACCTTAAGACTATTAGCAGCAAGAAGTCATAGAAATGTTTTCAACACTTTATATCCAAAAAGTCGGCATACATACACTAGAAACTGTTATTGAAGGCAATCCATAAAGACAGCACTGAAAGCCACAACCCTAATTTCCTTCAATACAGAAAACTAGAGAAAATCTGAGTACCAAACAGAAACCATCCCAATGGCAGGAGAGGATCCAAGTCAACACACAGAGTATTTAACTCAGTCCTGCACTGGAGACCTGCCATTCTTACTTCCTCCTGTGTGTGACCTCCATTTGGACTCAAGAGAAACAGAAAGGAAGACAAATGGAAAGATAAATAGAAAGAATTACATGTCACCTCCTCCCAACATACTGACTGGCATCAAATGATAGTAAGGTAACAAAATTGCTGAAAACCTGTTCTCTTCAAACAATGCATTTCAAAGTGGCCCCTTTTGCCACTGTTGAAACTCATGATTTTTTTTCCCCTGCTTTTCAGAAGCTTTTAAGAAAAGCAGACACATTCAGAAACTGCTCAAGTAATTTCTCATTCTCTTTCTCCTGTTAGCAGGCAGTTGGTTTAACAGAAGATCCCTCCCCTAACTCTCCTAGGGCTCAATTACTCTTCCTTTAAGACTTAAAACCAATCCAAAACTGACAAAGTAGGAGAAACCATGCAAGCTGAAGTATAGACAATTTACAGCATACATCAAATAGGGAGGCACCGCTGCTCAGCTTCTGTCATGACTTAATAGCAAAAATATTTGCCCACAAGAATAGTGTCACCAGTGGATGAGGTTAAAGTAACAGTCCCAGGAGAGGGATCTAAGGATACTGAAGGTGGTCCTGACTATTGTGAAGAATAATAGTGTTTCTGCAGGACCCATTCTGCAATGCATGTTCCCCTCTGCAAATTCTTCACATGTGCAAAGAAGCAAGTATGGAAGGCAAAGTAAACCTCTTTAAACCAAGCTATTTTTTCACAGGGTTTGGAAAATAAAAGAGGGAGGAAAAAAAGCAGGAGAGCATTTTGTTCTTTCTATTTTTAAAGCCTTGGGAAGCACTTACAAATTATGGCAACAGTGGGACACAGGAGTACCTAGATGGAAAAATTAATCACGAGGTAGTTTATTTTATTTTAATTATGATTTCTGATTCAAGTGAAAGGTTGAAAACTAGACTACTGGATAAAAACCTTAAGTCTGTGTCCAATTCATCATATCCCTGTTCAAAAGTGTAGCCATCTCAGGGCAAATCCTGCTCCTAGTGAGATTTGTTACTGATTTTAGGGTCAGGGGAACCTAATTTTGTCTTCTGCATCCAGTTGCAGAGTCTAAAAAGGTGAAGTTAACACTGACCCACCTTGGAGATCACAAGATGGAAAAAGAAAAGCAAGCCAAGAAAAATTAAGGAGGACTGGATGGTTTAGATGCTAAAGTCAATCAAGAATAATTCTGGAAAATTTGTAAATATTTTTACATTTACGCAATTTCAGAATCTGAGCAAGGCAAGATAGATACATGGGGCAGTTAGAAAAAATAGAGCTTTGCAGTACACAAGCACTACTTAGAGTCTTTCATATCTGTGCTGTTTTGAATCTTAGCAATAACAATATTACTTCTGCAGCTTGAGGTTGTCCATGTTGGCATTTTATCAACAAAACCCTAGACAAAGACAAACCTTAGTGGCTCTGTTATTGTGGAATAATGATAGATATGGATAAAACCTATGTTTAGTAGCTATGCTGTAAAGAAGCGTCTGGAAGTGTTGAATTTTGTGGGATTGTTCTGTATAATGCCCATGCACATGACTTATCTTTAAAATATCAAGGAATAATAATAAAATCCCCCCACCAAAACCAAATAAAAGCCCAGCTGCAAAGCCTGAAGCGATTTTAAAAATAGCTCTCTGTCCTATTGTGGGATCAGTTTTCCCTGGAATGGCTTTTATGTTCAAAATATCTTGAAATACTAGTTTCTTGGCAGTATCTACTCAAATATTTTCACTGAACTTTAGATGAGACTTATTGTCTGCGTGTCCCTAGGAAGCACTCTCTGGAGGAACAGGAAAAAAGGCACCATTAATTATAGTGTGGGGGCACACAGAAAATTCCAACTGGCCTATCAAGTGTGAAACAAGTCTTGCAGAGTAAATTACATTTTCTTAAGAATGAATTGAAAGGGGCAAAGAAATTGATCCCTAGCTATAGCTAGTGCTTCAGCAAAGGTAACTGCAAAGCCTCAGAATGCGGTTTTGCAACTCTTCTGTGAGTTAATTTAAGTGGACAAAAAGACTCCAGACTCCGTGAAGCTTTAACCCCAAAGAAAGCATCTAATCTACTGGATCACAACTCTAACTGACAAAGCAGAGCAGCTCTACTTGCTTCAAAGAGATGTGCTGATTTACCTCTCAAGGGTTTTGCCCAAAGACTGTTATACATGAAAGACTAGTAGTTTTATTTGCATTTTACAGCATTGACTGTGAGAATGGACCAGGAATGGGTCATAGTTTTCCTTCCTAAAACAAGACAATGTGTTGAGAGCAGAAAACAAGGTTTGAAGACTGTATTTTACAGAAAGATGGAACTATATCTACAGTTTGGTGTAATGGAATGTAATCTTAAAACCACTTTTTATATAACATTAATTGCAGAGTATTTGGGGTACCACTGATTTATAAGACAAATGTTTACCTCTGATTTTAATCAGATTATCAAAATCTCTAAGTAAGATTAATCAACACTAACCAAACTTTTATGGATAATGCAGTGGGGAAGAAAAGAAACACTCAGCTTCTGAGAAGACAAAAGGTTAAAGTGGATGATTCGTTTAAGGAACTGCCGGAGAATTTCTGAGTTCTCTCATGCTGACTGTGCTGTTAGAAAGATAAAGGCTTTGCTCAACACTATGTCTTGTCCAGTACTTCCAATTTCTTTGCTTACCTCCTCATTTATGATGTACACACTCACTGAAAGAACATGGGAAAGTGATATTGGGATAAAAGAATACCAGTGCTTGCATCGCTGGAAGGATGCAAAGGACAGGAGAAAAAGAAGATATCTGTGAAATGTTCAAATTTTAATAGATGAACCACAGAAGTGGGTGAACCTGTTGTTCTTTTTTACATTTAAGTAAAACCATTCCTTGAGGCTTGAACAATAAGAGACTCAATAGAACATTATTAGGACAATTAAAATGAAGAATGCAAGTGTAGAGGCATCAGAGGTCTGTGTAGGTTTAAAACAAAGACCTGGAGAGGCTACAATGACTATCCCCTTAAAAGTTAGATTTAGTGGTCTGCTATATAGTAAAAGGCAAAGCAAACACGTATCTTAAACAATGCTCAGCCAACCAGCAATCACTGATGGATCACGCTTGGATCACACTGGGCTACAGCACCTTTGTCAGCTCACACTAATGAAAGAAGAAAGAACCAGGAAGAGACAAACACCTTTGTTATATGCACGTTTTTAAGACCAGCATTTTAATTTGTGAGCAACCAACACAAAAGGAGAACTGTGGAGGTATTAGGACAGGATTTAGACCTGGGGAATAATGGAGAAGGAAACTGGAAAATAACTGACACCGGTAGAAATCATGCCCAGACTAAATTAAGGGAGTTGGAGAAGGAATGACTCCCTAAAAGCATCTATACAACATCCTGCTGATAGGGAAAAGGAGCTGCATATTTTATTTTAAAAGATAAAGATTATGTTTAAAAATAGCCCACTGTCAACCTCTCTATAAACTCTTCAGTGAATTGACTTGTGGTTTCTCAGTTATTCCGTATTTTTAATAGACTTTGTAGGAGTTTTTGAGAGAAAGACATTAAACGCAGCTCTCCTCTCAGGTACTGTTAAGACTGTTTCTGAACATACACACAATTCTCACTCAAGTATCCAAGACAAATGCAGGCAGTTCAAAAGCTATTTAGACAAGACTATTTGCTACTGAAAATTATTCTGGCTCTATTGCAGATTTGAAGTTATACAGCTGACATTTGGCTCCTTGGCTATTCCTGAGGCAGTTACTTCTCTGCTATTCATAGTATATAAGTGACTGCCTAAAAGCATAGGGCTTTCTGTTGCCCAAACAGTAACTGAAATTTTACAAATGACAGCAGTGTAAAAAGAAGTATCAGCGTTACCCTTGCTTTAATTGCAGCATAGCTCTACTCGTTAGGGATTAGAAAAGCCAACATGAATGCACTGATCTTTGTGGGATTCCCAGCTATTTCACCAGTAAAAGGATTAAGGAATATTTGAAAGTAGCATGTATAACTGAAACTAGCATGTAATCCATTGTGTTTTCTAGCTACAACTTTACTTCTTTGCATCCCCCCCCCCATTTGTTCCACTCTAATTTTCTGAAAGAATTTATTTTTTAAGTGTACGTTCTGTTATGTTCTGGAGTCAAGATACTGTTAGGCTTCCACTTTGACAGATGTCTTCAGTGGTGAATTTGGTCTGGGTGATCACCAACTCCACATGATCATTAAGGTCGACTTGCTCAAGTCAGTCACAACAAAGTCTTCCACAAAGCCCTCTTGGCCTTTCTTTGATTTTCCCACTCTCTTTCCTTCTTCCATGTCTGAAGTTTTGCTGAAATATGCAAATATAACTTCTGTCCAGGGCACATAAACCAAAGTGTGGAAATGCAGAAGGTAGCAACTCCCACAGCTTGGCATGCTGTCTCATGTAGAGATTAGTGAACCTAATGAAATTCAACTGACATTTCTAATCACACCAGAGGTACCGAGTGTTAGAAATGCCACTGATCCCCAAAAAGACTTTTCTTACATGTCTGTCGATGTGACCTGCACAAATCAGCATCATGAATGCCCTAGATGATTTGGGTTGACTGAGAGCAAGCCAATTGTTCTGAAGTCAGTTCACAATCTATTGCAGAGCACAAAGTGTCTAAATCTACTGAAGAGCTTATTTGCAAGAAGTTCATGGCACATGTAGCTCTACCTACATAATGTTAGTAATAAGACTGGAAACCAAGTGTAGAAAAACTCCATGATAGGAAATCTTGATTTATAACAGCTATAATTTTCCAAAGCACTTTTTTTCTAGTGAAAAGTGAGTGACTTACCTGACTTCAAGTACTAAAGTATATTGGGCTAGTTTGTGGCTCCCTGTGATAATCTGTGTAGATGCTTAGAGCTAAGCATCTACACAGTGACAAGTCTGTCACTGAGACAACACAGCTTGGAAAATAAACTCTAACTATAAAAAATTAAACTCACTTTAGAGGCTAAACAGGTTAAATTTAGTAGTAAATACCCTCTCTCTCCTTGGGTTAGGAACATATGAGTATATTTATTTGCAAGCAGGCAAAGGACAGTTCAATTTTTACATTCTGAGCCATATAAAACAAAATAACTTGTTAATAGCATGAAAAGAGACAAAACCCACCATAACCCAGGCAGGTGCAAGTGGTGCAGAACTGCAATGCTAACTCTTCATCATATGGGGTTGACTGACTAAACTGCCTACTGGACTACTCTGGCTGGACTAAAAAGCTAGCAAGTGAAACAGAGCAGTTAATTTTCTTCCAGTGTAGTGGACTGAAATGTCCACGATAGTTAAATATTTTTTAATAAAGGAAGTCACAAATATTAGCCAAGTAAGGCAGCTCATCTATGCACAATAAACAGCATAGAATGATAACATCAGTTTAAAGTTGTACAGTGAGTTTTCTAAAACCACACAACTGATATGTAGTTAGGCCAAATTTTCAGCATTGGAGGTGGCAAGTGCTGTGGTGCCTTCTAAAAGACAAGGAACCAGCAAATCTGATTCTTCATTTAAAGGACAGTTATCTTACCAGAATTAAAAAAAAAAAAAAAAAAAAAAAGGTCTTTCAAATGTTGTAGGAACGACAAGAAGTTCAAAGTATCAGGGTGCCTAATTCCAAAGATGCATCAGAAAATGGAGACTGCAACTTCCATATAAAACTTGGACATTTCAAACATGGCCCGGAAACACTTTCTCCCCTGAAAGGTATGGGTCATAATCTTGTGGAACAGCTCTTCCTGGTTAGGTTGCTCCCATGAAAAACAGGCATACTTGGAAATGTTAGGACACTTGTAAGACACTGATTTTGGTTTCTTTTACTAAAAACCCAAATTGCTTCCCATACTGCTGCTACTTAGCTTTGGTTTTCTGGATCCCAAAAGGAAACTCTGTACTCTTTGTTCTTCCTGACTCCCACTTTGACTCTTTTTTGTCCATTTCATCTCCCAGAGATACTCTGTTCGTTTACTGCTCTATTGTTTTGTGCAAATAGGAGGGAACTCTTGTCTTTTTCAGGCAGGAATTTCAACTTGAGGGAAAACAGAACTAAGTGTTGCAAGGGAACCAGCTCTTTTCATGGCAAACATACCTGAGCTGAATTTCATACTGCCCTGTATGACGAGCCTGCACATTCCTCAAGACCAGTGTGAAGATATCTTCATTTTGCAGGATTTCACATGCTGTTCCCGGCATTATTTCTTGCCCATCTTTAAACCAGTGAACAGTGGGGAAAGGATCTCCAGCAATGGCACAGGATATGAGGACATTTTGCCCAGCAGCTGCTGTTACTGATCTTGGCTTGCTAATGAACCAGGGCTGAATACCATCCTGAGGTTCTGTAGTTTACAAACACAGTTTACGAATCAGTAGAAAATGCCAAGCTTTAATGTAACTAACCAATGTCAGGGAAAGCAATCACAGACAAGCAGAGATATTTTGAACATGCAGGGCATAATTTTTTAAGCTGAAAATAAGTCAGGCTTTAATTTTTGAAGTAACTTGTGTTGCTGCTAAAATTAATCACTTACTTGGCACTTTACTGGCTCCATCGAAGCTTATATTAAGAGCAAAACAAAGAGACTTTAAAGCTGCCCTAAAAGGAATCTTGAAGACTTGGCCTTAGAGAATATGGGTAGGAATAGGTTTAAGGGCAAGTGACAGTACTATGACTGCTCTGCAGATGAGAACGCATGTCATAAATCATCATTAACAATTGCTTGAAATTGTATTTAATATAGAAGACTGATCCTGAGGCTAGATCTCAGGGGAGCTTAAAGAATAGAGGAAGGTCTGAATTCAGAGCAGACAGTGACAACAGACTACAGACCAACCCCTGGAGGCACAGCTCTCTGAATTCCTGGGGTTAAGGTCCTTTACATTAAAAATAGTAAAAGTTTCCCATTGATTTCCAATAATTCCCAGTAATGATTATGAGAAAATGTTGGCATACAATAAGACTAGATGAAGTTCCCCTTCACAAAGGTAGTGAATGCACAATCGCAGGAAGTTTGTAGGTACTTCAGTGTTTACTGTAGGATTTACATCATATGTGGAGATTCAAAGCTAAATTGTTTGAAACTAGTTCTCAAATTGCAGAAATCGTGTGTTCCTCACCTGCTACCACTACAATGCTAATATTAAAGCCAGGATACCTGGCTCCTAGACAGCTTTTCCAAATACTCGGGGTTTTAACTAGAAAGAAAAACATCATTAAATGGTTTACATTAAGTCCGTAGCTAAGTAAACCTTATAATCTGAAGCTGCATTTAGCAGAAGTTTTGCACTGTCCCTAGGAATAGGACTCAGGAATGCATTTTTGAAATAGTAACATAATGTTCCAGAGCAAAGAGATTTTTTTAAAGTTGCTTCTGCTCAATATCCTTTTTAATTCAGAAACAGAGACTGAGAACTCCGAGCATCCTTCATGACAGACCTTATAAACACTCATGTACTTTAAATAGACACCCCTCCAGCACATTAGAATTATTTTAGCATTTCCTAAGGTGGAGAAGAACTTCATACCTTGTACTGTCAATGTAGCCTGGGTTTGAGTTTCTCCTAATTCATTCCAGGCTTCACAGGTGTATTTGCCTGTGTCTTCAGGAAATACTTCCTGGATACACAGACTGTACTCATTTCCTTTCTTCTCAAAGTGGAAATCTTCTGTTTCTTGGATTTCTTTCCCATTGTGCAGCCAGATAATTTCAGGAGGTGGGTTAGCTAAAAAATAGGAAACAGCAAAAATCAGACACACGTATACAAAAACTGCTATATATTGATTAAGAAAATGAACAAGGTTGGTTGTTTTCTGCCATCAGATTCTGCAATTTCTTCTTCAAAAGATTCAGGAATCTAATTAACTGTTGATGCTGTGTAATGTGGAATAGTTCTAAGTTTGTCTTACTACAGTTAAAATACAAAAGAAAAAGGGATGTATGTATACAATTGAGAGAAAGAATGAGTTCTAGATCCCATGAAGGTGGTTATCAAGGGTTTCTGTTACCAAAGCTTATACCAGGACTGCTCTTTTCTGAAGCACTAATCTAACCCAGCTGACAGGAATGCAATTTTGTTTGGCTCACAACAAAAGCTATTACAAGTCCACTGAGAGTTAGGTTTAGTTTAACAACAGGACTAAATAATAACATTGTTATTATTACAATGAAGAAACACTTGTACAAGTCTGAACACATTAAGACTGCACAATGTTCATCCCCCCTAAAGATCAGATTAGACAAACCTAGACCTTACTTTCAAAAAAAATTGATTCCTTGAAATACTATTACTAAATGCAAAGGCACCTGCTAAAAGAAAAGAATAATGGAAAAAAGCAACATACTTTGCAGCAGGACTTAACATTTTTAAATAATACTGTTCAATAGCTACACACCTGATACCTCCACGGTCATTATCACTTGACTGCCATCCATCACTCTGAGGTCAGTCAGGCCTTTAAGAAAGATTGGTGCAAAAGTCTTGTTTAACTTGGCAACCTGTGCATTTTCTGCCTTCTTGCTGCTCTTCTTTTCTGTGAAGTCAATAAAAGAACAAAAGGTGTCTTTTACAGGAATTTTCATGACAAATTTTAATTGACCTTAGGTTCAAACTGATTTTGAGTGAATGGTCTTGTTTCAGCTCTCAGAAGGCAAAAATCACTGAAACCACCCAATATAGCTGTTTTGCCTTGCAAGTTGTCTAAGCAGAAAGGAAAAAAATGGGAATGAAACTGTCCTCCCCCCAGGGACCCTCTTAAATTATTGTTAAGAGATGTCATAGAGTATCACAAAGAAATTTACGCTTGTTTTTCTCAAGTACACATGCTCAGGAGCAGAAAAAACCCTGACTGGTAAACAACAGTTCCAAGTCTTTAATCACTGCTAAATTCACATAAAAATCTTAAGAGATGTAACAAGTTGATATTCTCATGATGGATAAGATAAAAGTGCAAACTCACAGGACTATAGGATTCACCAATGTCTATGAAATTACAAACCACTTAGACAGTTAGATGGTCAATATCAAATGGGTTTGAGTTCACCATACTCTTCTACATTAGTCTTGGGCAACTGATTGATGATGAGGAAGACTGGGACCTGAGGTTATCAACATACATCACAAAACTGTTGGATTAGGCCAAACTGTTGGAAATGTTTGGGGTTTTTTTTGAGGCTATACAATCAAATGACGAATGCTGGAGTTTAATTAATCACTCTTAAAAATAAAATATGTGATAGACATGTAGTTTCCAGTATCCACAGTGGTATCTTCTGTCTCGGGTTCAGAAGTTATGAAGCAAGATCACTTAACTGTGACCTATACGGTGCACTAGACCACAAAAAATACTTCTGCTCTAAAAACCTGAGCAAAGACTCTTCTGAAGCCAAAGTGGTGATCATGACCAAATATAAAAGTCATAAATATTTATTGGTCACTTGGATACACTTTTTGTTTTGTTTAGTTTGAGTTCAGACCTCTTGTGTATTGCCTGTAAAATGCCAACTGTATTTTCTGTCCATACATGAAAATAGCTTCATTTTGCTTATTCTTGTGTTCAGAATTTTCAAAGGTATATGAAGATCATTGAAAATAGCATTATAGCAACACAGAGTACCAGGTTGGGAAAAACCACCATTCATAAAAGGACGGTGATTAGAAAAACTGAAAGCACCTTACTGAACAAGTCTACTGCAGCTCCTGGAGGCAAAAAGTTAAGTTCGTCTCAGGGTTATTTGAGCTCAGTGTAAATTTGGAAGCAGCCTGGAGAGGAAGTTTTTCCTTTTCTCTAGCAAAGCTTTTTCTAGCCAAAATCTTGTCTTGCTGGCTTATGTTGTAGGTCTTTTCTTGGCACTGAGTAGTAAGACATTGATGCATGTGAGAATGGAAATGTGGGACCTGAGAGAGACCCGCTCAGCTTGGTTTTATGCACTTACTACTCTGAAATGTCTGATTCACCATCAGGCCACACTGATCAGTTTTAGGGCTTCCTACAGAACATTCTTCTAAGTCCAAGACTAAAGCTGCATAGAAAATAGCCATGAAGTTGGGTCAAACCCATCTACAGTAATAAACTGGTATGGTTCACCATATTCCTCTGGTTTGGACTCTTTACTCAGAGAAATAGCTTTACACAATTGCTGTACTACACAATATGAGCACATACTCCTTCACTACTCTAATGTCTTGCAAGAAATCACTTTGCCCCTCACACTGAAAAAGATCTAGGAGGGAAAGCAGAAAGCCATAAATGAGAAAAGGTAAGAAAAGAAGAAATGAGGAAAAGGAAAAAAAAAAACCAAGAAAGTAACAGAACAGGAAGAAGGCATAGATAGAAAAGAAATAAAAGGATACATAAGTGATAATATTTCTGTTACCTCTTTTGTTTAAATAATTCATAACATTGCAAATCAAGAGGGCTGATATGCAGTGAAAGGTGAGCAAGGAAAGGAAAATAAAAGCAGAGGTGTGGTAGTTGACCAACAGTGAAACAGACTTTGAGTATGATCAGAGAAGTTCAAGCCTTTGGAGAAGGATAGTTAAAAAAATAGGGCTGAAACAGCTTTCATGAGAGAGTTAACTGTAAGTAGGAAATAAATTTGCTAGTAGTAGCCCTGGCAGCAATTCTCCCAGAGCAGACAGAGCTGCCTCTGGCAGAGTCCTGGTACAAACCAGCACCGAGTACCTGCAGCACTCCACATCCTTCACAGCTGGCTCTTTGCTTTATTAGATCGACGTGCCTGTTCTGTGTAGTCTAAGTAAATGGATTTCTGTAATCAAGGAAGACAACACAGTATAGCAGCCTTAGCTTATTAAAAAGAAATGGGTGAGCAACCACAGAAGGAATAGAGAAAAATATTTTCCCAAAAGGATTTTTTCAGTAATCCTAACTCCTCCAAAATATGTGCTGCAGAAATGCAAGTTTCATGAATGGGAATAAACTTACCATCTTGCAAAGAGCTGCATAAACATTAAAAGGAAGCAAGCAAATAATTTACAGTAATTGCATACATGAATCACAAACCCAACAAATTTACAAAAAAGTTAGGCCTTAGTTTCTGAAGTTATTTCAGGCAGATGTATCCTACACTAGTGAGACCTACTCATATGAGTGACACTAAGATTTACTGGGGTGCTGGCCTCTATCCCTAAAAGAGTAACCTGCAGAATTACAGGGTGCAGAACCTCTTGCCACTGTTACTCATTAGTGCTCACTATTGGTAAGCAAAGCTATCAAACTGAAACGGAGGGGGCCAGAACCTGCCACACCATTGCACGAACCTTAAAAATAGTGTTTACACTAAATTTCAGCACTGTATAGGTTTATGATATGAAGACCCGTTCTGTGCTTAAACAGAAAATTATGGTGGGAACAAACACCAGAAGCCTATGGTATATGAGTAGTAAAAACCTTAAAGGGTACAGCTTCAACAGTGCAAGAAAAGTTACTGGAGAGACAAAAGCGTTTTTTCATTAGGGCAAAATGAATGCAATCACACAGAGGAACATTAAGATGGATTATAAAGTCCGAAATATTGTAAACCTGAGGATTACTCCAGGGACGGAAACAAAGGAAACTTTATTATCATATCCTTTCTGAAGACATTCCTGTCCTTGTGAACCCTTCATATACCAATGCATGCACACTTTGATTTAGTCCTTATGTATTACTCGATTTCTCCATATCCATTACAAAGTAGGAGTAAAAATGTCTCGCTTTCTATTGCTGATGTTCTCTGGGGCATTGGGGCAGTGAAGGCATTTCTTTAGCAACAGATATGAAATCTGTTGTATGTTAAGAGCTCAAAAATTAGAAGCTATCATGGCTAAAGCAACCAGGATTACTTTTCAAATGTGTGACATCCAGCATACAGTAAATATATGTCTAAAAAGACTCACACCCTGGCAACTTGAACAGGATTTCCTCAAAACACAAGTATTCTCCCCTGCTTTTTAAATACTTTTTTTTTTTTAAATGGGGATCTCTAATCTTATGCTACTTTTATTCAGTAGTATATGTTGATCAGTAGCATATGTTTATTGTACCAACAGTTTAAGCAGAATATCACGAAAAATGTCTAATGTTTCTTGACTTGGCTGCAACAGTTAAAAATACTTAAGTTCTAATCCATAAATGCTATTTTATCATTAAGAAATCATTTGGTCTCTTTTCATGGAATATTTTTTCTGTTATTTAAAATTTGATATTGTGGATGTAGAAAAAAATTAACATACTGACAACTTTAGTTTCTCGCAGGTATTTTACACAAAGCAACACAGCCAGTTTTACATACATTACTTAGTCTAAAATCATTGCATTTTCTCAGAAGGGACTGATAGTCATGCAGAGGTCAAATTACAAAGCCCGAATTCAAATTAAAACAAAACAAAACAAAAACATCTTTTCAAATTCTTCTGAAGCTTGTAAATGCTTTTAGTTGTTTATTTATTACGTAGCACCATGCTGTGACTCAGTGCTCCTCTGATGAAGGCTTTAACTTTTCACAATTTTACCATGAGACAGAAGCCCTGTATGTTTTCACAGCTTATTTTAAAACACCTAATGGCTTCTTCAATTTTAGCCTTTATAGCTCTTGTTTGTAAAAACAACAATCAATTTGATTTTGGAAGGTACTTGGGAAAAGAAGGGACACCGCTTATTCAAGATTAAGCAAATAACTCCTGTTCCCACTTATGGTGAAAAGATATTGTGTGATTCTACTTTATTTGAAAAACACTTGGCTGCTTATTTTGCCAGGAAAGTAGTAGTAAGAGGAAAATCATATATAAAAAAAAAAAAAAAAATCAAAGAAACACATCCCCCCCCATCCTTCGCCCCAAAGCAGGCACTATTTGCAAATGGGTAGCTTCAGAAAGTGTGAGAACTGCAGAAGTTCACATTCCTGGCCACAGCTAGGTGCTAACTAGTCTCATACATCAGGAACAAAACCTATGACTGGAACCAGGAAAATGGAGGAGGAGATAAGAAAAACAAGACACAAATAAGCAAGCTGTGTACAACAAAAGGCCAGTATTACAGCTTGCTTTCCCACATTCCTCCAAAGCTCTTTTCACCACATGAACTCTGCTGGGGTTCAAAATTCATATGATCTTCAGTAACAGCTGGCTTCAGAGCCCAAAGCAGCAAGAAGAAAGAGTAAGGAAGCACAGGTACAGCTCTGAGCTCCCAGCTCAGACACTGCAAGGCACTGTGCTTCTGGCTGAAGCTCTTTCGTGACACCGTAGGGTATTTGTGTTGCTAAAACTACAGACAATAAAACTATGGCACCTCTGGCACCAGAAAGGTAATGTGGAACCTAAGGAAAATTTTGTCTAACATTAGCAGAAGGGCATGACTTTTTTTGATATCTACACATCCTCAAGCTTCATCAACTGAATGTGAAAAAGAGGAGATCCGATCTCTTCCTATTATGTTAATGCGCTCTAATTGCCTCTAGCCATTTAACATCTCCCTCCCCACTCT